AAACAACGAGTGAAATGGTTTGGCCATATAATGCGGGTGTCAAGAAACAGTAGACCACAGAAGAAATGACGAATAGACCAGACGGGAAGCGAAGAAATGGCCGACCATGCTATCTATGGACAGAGGGAATAACAGATTCCCTGTGAAATCCCATTTACGAAGCACACAAACCGGCACTTTCCTGTGTAAATAATACTCCACTTCGATACCGCAAGGTATAAGAGGATCAAGATGAGATGAGATAATAGAAAACATATATTTATTTTATTAGCATTAAAATTGATGTTAAACAATAAAAACAGATCAGATGGCCCAGACTGAAATTACTACGAAATTCTTATACAAAAGTTTATTTGTATTTATGGCAAGTCACTTGATATTCATAGATTATTATAGGGGCCCTATTCTCGTGGGTCTCCCGGGCAAGTTCCCATGTGTTAAGACGGCACCGGTCTTCGGCGTAAAAAGATTCGCAAGGCTTAAGGACGAGGTACTGTATTCTTTCTCGGTGTGGCGTTGATCCGGGAGATGTTATCTCTACAAACTCCGTGAATATTTGCATGTATTTGTTTGAGCCATCCACCACGGAGGGTCTGACAAACATCACACAGCAGTGACTCAAAGATTTACAATGTAAAGTGTAGTCATAGCTCTCTATCTATCAATCAATCAAACTATCTATCAATCAATCAATCAGTCAGCCTGTCTGTCTAGCTATCTATGTATCTATCTTTAAATCTATCTATATGTATGTGTGATTGTGTACGTGGCACATATGTGTACAATAGAATCTCTACATGCAAATCTCACCATACACAAATTCACTGGTTATATTTGTGGGCCATAACTACTGAGCCAACAAATACAGTATCCAGAATTCAGACGAGTCCAGAATTGACACCACAGCACCGGGAACACTTGGCAGAAGCGCTCCGTCCCAATCTTCAACAAGAGCAGAGTTCCAATTTCGACGGTACTAGCAACAGTCTGATTATTTATCCTTCTCGCCTGTCATCTGAGCGTCGAGTGTTGGTCTGTCTGACTTTCACCCATATATCTATGGGTTTGCCTGTATACTTGTCAACCCGCCTGCTTGTCTGTGTGTCTATCCACTCACTTGCCTGCGTATGAGCTGTAAAATGTTATAAAACTACCCACAGAACTAAAGATAGTCTTTGCTTTCCGCGCTTACATGGCCTGCTCTACTTCAAACTGGCAGATAGGCGGGCAGTCGGTTAAATTCTTGAAGTGCTGTTTTCTTGTGACCATGCACTTTTCCCATATGCTGTGTGTGTAGTCCCTGGTGTCGTTGGCAAAGCTACTGAGTTGAGTGCTGTGTGCAACACTGTGAGCAGAGTATGTCGTAAGAAATGTGTTTCGACAGTGGCCGCGGCGATGTGTGTCAGAATACTCAGATAATAACCAGTGGCCAGTTTGTGTTCGGGCGTGCGATGTGCCTTATGCAATAATTGTGCCTGTGTACGCCCAGCTGGTCATGGCTACTTTCAGGAACGAAAAATTACAATTCTAGTGCAGACTGCTGTTGTTGTTGTTGTCATCGCTATGTTCCCTGGTGTTTAAACAAAACAGTGAAGGAAATTGTTTAATTTTTATTTAACCGGGTCCATGAAAAGGGCAACGGTGGGATGGCCCGTTGACAGTGACGCTGCAACATCAACTACCGGCTATCGATAGCGTCTCTTTAGTCTTAGTACACCACAGTGTAGGCAGTTCCGACATCTTGCTGACTCCAGATCATCATCGCCTGTCTCAGCTGGTACTCACCCAGCAGCCACTATTTGTCAGCAAGGTGTTTTGCAGACTAGTGCCCGGTAATCAGGAAACAACAAACCGCTCCCGTACACCAGCTGTTCACATGTTTGGTATTCACGTTATGTTAATGCGCATGTCTGCAGTCTAACCATGTACAGTTTAACGGTACATTATTACACACTGGTATACTCTGTAAAACCACTTGTCTGCTCTAGTGGCATATGTGTCACCCTCTGTCAAAGTTCTGTTGCTGCGTTCGCTGGTGTCCAATTATAATGTACCAACCATAAAGAATTCACAAACTGCACGGTAAAACCATAGAGAACACACATACTGTATTACATCAGCCATACAGAACATGCGCACTGTATTGTTGCAGCCGGAAAAAAAACATAACTAGTGCGCCACCGCCACCCTCACCTGTACATACAATGCAATCTAGTAGAATGCACATGAAACAGTAACTTGTATTACTGTACTATACAAATAGAATACTACTCTCCCCCTCCCTTGTATTACCCCCTTCACACACACACACACACACACACACACACACACACACACACAACAAATCTAGCGTACTGAACCAGCCATAAGCCACTACACTTGAAGACAACATCTACTGTATTGTATATGCCGACAAACAGAACATGGATGCGGGACCTGAACAGCAGATGAGATGGGAGTAACATATACCATGGACGTGAAACTTCAATCACAGTGGCACTGTGTTGTAGAAAACTAGTGAAATCACGTGTGTGTGTGTATACACATGTATGTATGTATGTGTATGAAAATATGTATGTATGTATGTGTATGAAAATATGTACATATGTTTATATACATATCATTCATCCAGCTATATACAGAGGGTGCTGTAATGAGCACCCCCCCCCCCCCTTTTTTTTTTCCACACAGGCTAGTCAGACACAGGCCCATATTTTAGAATAACCACAAACATGGAAGTCCTTTCCCTCCCAGTCAGTGTGTTACAAAACGTATGCAAGCAAAACACTACCACCCTATGCCCTGGGCCTTCACTCTCAGTCCCCAGTTACAAAACGTATGCGAGCAGACACAGTCGCCCCCTGTCCTGCGGCTCCGGTTATGCAAATAGGGCTGTTTTATTCAGACAAAGTTCCCATACAACATTCATGAAGAGGGCCGCAGTCATAAATATTCATTCAGGAATGAGAAGAGTCCAACAGAGACACAGCACGTACTCAAAATGGCTGGCGACTCTGGTAAAGTCCTGTCACAATGTTTTTTTTTTTTTTGGGTCAGTTTGGAGATGGCAACCAGCCTTGTCACAGTCGCTTTTTGTCAGAGTTTGGAGATGGCAACCAGCCTTGTCACAGTCGCTTTTTGTTAGTGTTTGAAGATGGCAACCAGCCTTGTCACTGTGGCTTTTTGGTCTAGGATGGGATAAGGCAACCAGCCTTGCCTCAACATTTGTCAGTCGGGGTTGGGAGACGGAAACCATCCTAGTCACAATGGCTTTCTGCCTGGGTTGCGAGATGACAACCAGCATTGTCACTGTGGCTTTTTGTCTGGGTTGGGAGAAGGCAACCAGCCTTGTCTCAGCATTCTGTTCTTTGTTTTCAGTTGCTTCTTTATATCAGTTCCAGTGTCATCATTATGTAGCAGGTCCTTTGCAGAACGTCGCTCTCATCACGATCTGCCTGAAAGAAACACGGTTTCTCCTTAGCTCTCTCCATATCCAAAGCGTCACTTATATCATTATCATGAGCCCATCTTCGTGTTAGTCGGCCTCTGCTCTTCCTTCGTGGTACCATGCCTTCTGCTATTTTTTTTTAAATCCGCGATGGCGCTTGATATGACCAAAATATTTCAGCTTCCAATACAAGAGGCTGTTTTTTTAACCAGTGTAGTTTCAGTGTAGTCACGCCTATTTGAGTTTGTCATACGTTTTTTAATCTCCAAGGACTGCAGTTTCACGGTGACAAAGTGGGGCTGAGGGGCTAGCGTGGCCGTAACCGGCGACAGAATTAAAACTGCCTAGGCGGATGAACGGGGTATCTCAGTTTGCCCTATTGATCTGACACGAGCGCCGAGGATTCTTTAGCCTCACGGTGTCAAAACTTCAGGTCCCGCTGACCTATCACTGGCGCCGAGATACTTTAGCCTAACTGTGTAAAACCTTTATGTCACGTTCGCCTGTCACTGGCGCCGAGATTCTTTAGCCTCACGGTGTCAAACCTTCAGGTACCGTTGGTCTGTCACTAGCGCCGAGATACTTTAGCCTAACGGTGTCAAACCTTCAGGTCACGTTGGTCTGCAATCCAGATTCAGAAATGATCTCATGTGGTAAAAATTTTAAGGTAGCAGCCCGGGTTGAATAAACGGCAAGTACGTACTTCGACTTTTTCTGTCGGGGGCAAAAAAAAATCCTCACCTGCACAGTCGTGACGACAGCACTAGCCATGCGGCTGTAAATCCTTACCCTCAAAGACCCCCCTGCCTACACTGCAAAAGTGGTAAAATAAAGGCAGTAACTGGCAGTTGCTATGTACCTCGTCGCCAATCTAGATTCAGTCAAAGTGACCAACATACCCAGCTAGAGTATAAGGTATCTTTGTGGTCACGCTACCAAACAACGTAGCTAGTCCAAAATCTTAAATAATCTATTGCCTTTGATGAGTTAATCGGATACTTCACGACAGCAGCTCTGGCCCTATTTATACTAAGGCCTGCATACTACCAAACTATATCCATAACCGCTATACCAAACAGGCAACCAGTGTTCTTCAGTTATACGATGTGAAGAGAGGCACAGAACATCGTGATGAATTGAAAGATTAACCGTAACAGAGGCAGAACCAGAAATACGAATCTCGACTACGATTCTGTAGCGATGGGATAGAGGGCTATCACCAGTGGAATTCACTCAAAATGCCGAGGGTCGAGATATACGCAGAGACATGAGCACCTAGGCCGTCTGGCCGGGCACATCCCGAGGACGATGATGATAATTTTACCCAAAGCCAATTCACGAGATGAAACAAACATACATTCATCAATTTTATCAATCCCAGCAGCTACCTAAAGGCCTGACACCTCCAAAGAATTTACAATTAGAGCACCAATAACATTAGGGACCACCCTGGTTGTATCCGACAGGCCGATGGGATCAGGATGATAGTGGCTAGATAGAAAAGTGGTAACAATAAAAGACAGGGACTGTGAACACATACAGTCAAACTTACCAGAGTTTTGTCTTTGTCTGGACTCGAGCTCATGGTGCCAGCCTTCTAGGCGCGCTTCATTCTCCAACAGTCAGTCTACGAGAGTACACAAGGTGCACAAACTGCCATCAGTGCGCGGAAAAGTTAGTGGTCATCAATAAACAGCAATTCTAGGATGAGTGGAGCTGTGTGGGTAGTCACTAGCTGAGGTAGTCATTGGGAGGGACAGTAGACTTCTAGAGGGTTAAGGAGATGCTGATAGAGACTTCTAGAGGGGTAGAGAGATGCTGATAGAGACTTCTAGAGGGTTAAGGAGATGCTGATAGAGACTTCTAGAGGGGTAACGAGATGCTGATATAGACTTCTAGGTGGGGGGGGGGGTAAGGAGATGCTGATAGAGACTTCTAGAGGGGTAAGGAGATGCTGATAGACTTCTAGAGGGGTAAGGAGATGCTGATATAGACTTCTAGCGTGGTAATGAGATGTTGACAGAAACTTCTAGCGTGGTAAGGGGACGACGAGAGAGACTTCTAGAGGCTAAGGAGACCCGGACAGAGACATCTAGCGTGGTAAGGAGATGTTGACAGAGACCTCTAGAGGTGTAAGGAAATTCTAATTAGACTCTGGGGTTTCTACTGTACGTTGGAGAAAAGTGAGCACAATATCTGGCAAATACCGAGGTTATCATGACTGGTCCTAAAACGGACAGGAGCGAAATCATCAATGTTATGCGAGATGTATAAATCAATCAACTAGTTAAGTTAACCTTCTTCTTCAGCGATCTCTAATCATGCGCATCATCCACTGTAGGTCATAAAACAGGGATGTCATCTCAAGGTCTCTTAGATTTCCCCAACCTTAGCTGTCAGATCTACTGGGTGTGGCCACATGTTGCTTCTCCGCTCTGCCAAGAGAGGACAGTCTTGCAAGACACGTTCTAGAGTCTCTTCAACACGAAGACACTGGCTGAGAGCTGTTTGGCTCATACTTAATTTATATGAGTGTTTTTTGAGTCTGCAGTGTACCTTGGTCTGTTCTGTTCAGGTGTTGTTAAATCAATTAATCAAGAACTGGCATCACTGCACCCGGGACGTGCCCATGCGTGCTCCACCCCTCTTCAACAGCCAGCGAAGATGTTCACATACTGATAGTGCCCGTTGCAACCTGATTAAAGTTAAGACTGCTTTTTTTTTTTAAATGGCAGAAAACCATCCAATCCCTCTGCTCACTCTCAAGTTGTATCATTCTTTCCAATTATGGATGCTCTATCTGTTCCGTTGCACTGTTAACTTGCTCCAAGCCCGCCTTCAGCACGTGTGAGATAATTATCAAGTTGTATAATGTTTTCTTTACACCTGTCTTGACTGTGTGGTAAGATGTGAGAAATATTTATCGATCATCGTCATCATGTGCCCTGCCAAATGGCATAGGCGCTCATGCGTCTCCACAGATCACGATCCTTGGTTGCATGGAACAGCTCTCTTAATGATATCCCTCCATGGCATCGTTTCAGCCCAGCCAGCACCATCTCTCTTGGTCTGCCTCTACCCCTTTTTCCAGTTGTCAAGAAGTTCTCCAATGTCTCTCTTCTCATTATGTGGCCAAAGAACAGTGTTTGTCTCTTAGTGATAGATACATGAAAGAAAGCAAATTTGTCACTGCATCTTTTCAGTTTGTTTGATTACATTTAAGTTGATTTCTAGGAGGTGGGGCAAATCTGTGTTTATTAAAAGGGGCGGTGGGCCCAAAAGAGTTTGTGAATCTATTACCTGGACTAACATATGTAATAAACCTGCGGACAATTAACAACGGTCTGGGAGTCGCAACCTGTGGCAAGCGGAACTACTATCAATGGCATGCGAGTTCTACTGGGCAGGTGAGACTTGTCAGCCAACTCAGAAGGATACCCCGAAGTAAAAGCAGTTGGCGTAATGTTGACCACATTACCACGACTAAAGGACTGGCAGGCATGTGTAATGTTCTACAACCAAAGGACTGAAAGGCAAGTGTAATGTTCTACAACTAAAGGACTGGCAGGCAAGTGTAATGTTCTACAACTAAAGGACTGAAAGGCAAGTGTAATGTTCTACAACTAAAAGACTGGCAGGCCAGTGTAATGTTCTACAACTAAAGGACTGGCAGGCAAGTGTAATGTTCTACAACTAAAGGACTGGCAGGCAAGTGTAATGTTCTACAACTAAAGGACTGGCAGGCAAGTGTAATGTTCTACAACTAAAAGACTGGCAGGCAAGTGTAATGTTCTACAACTAAAGGACTGGCAAGCAAGTGTAATGTTCTACAACTAAAGGACTGGCAAGCAAGTGTAATGTTCTACAACTAAAGGACTGGCAAGCAAGTGTAATGTTCTACAACTAAAGGACTGGCAGGCAAGTGTAATGTTCTACAACTAAAGGACTGGCAAGCAAGTGTAATGTTCTACAACTAAAGTACTGGCAGGCAAGTGAATTGTTCTACAACTAAAAGACTGGCAGGCAAGTGTAATGTTCTACAACTAAAAGACTGGCAGGCAAGTGTAATGTTCTACAACCAAAGGACTGAAAGGCAAGTGTAATGTTCTACAACTAAAGGACTGGCAGGCAAGTGTAATGTTCTACAACTAAAGGACTGGCAAGCAAGTGTAATGTTCTACAACTAAAGGACTGGCAGGCAAGTGTAATGTTCTACAACTAAAAGACTGGCAGGCAAGTGTAATGTTCTACAACTAAAAGACTGGCAGGCAAGTGTAATGTTCTACAACTAAAAGACTGGCAGGCAAGTGTAATGTTCTACAACTAAAAGGCTGACAGGCAAGTGTAATGTTCTACAACTAAAGGACTGGCAGGCAAGTGTAATGTTCTATAACTAAAGGACTGGCAAGCAAGTGTAATGTTCTACAACTAAAAGACTGGCAGGCAAGTGTAATGTTCTACAACTAAAGGACTGACAGGCAAGTGTAATGTTCTACAACTAAAGGACTGGCAGGCAAGTGTAATGTTCTACAACTAAAGGACTGGCAAGCAAGTGTAATGTTCTACAACTAAAGTACTGGCAGGCAAGTGAATTGTTCTACAACTAAAAGACTGGCAGGCAAGTGTAATGTTCTACAACTAAAAGACTGGCAGGCAAGTGTAATGTTCTACAACTAAAAGATTGGCAGGCAAGTGTAATGTTCTATGATAAAAAGATTGGTAGGCAAGAGTGATGTTCTGTGAGTAAAGGACTGGCACGCAAGTATAATGTTCTATAACTAAAGGCTGGCAGACAAGTGAAATGTTTTGTGACTAAACTACTAGCAGGCAAGTAAAATGTATTCTCCAGCAATCCACATTTTTTTTTAAATACACAGAAATGATGTTTCATCTGTCAACCAATAATTATCTAATGTAAACAAATTATACACATGTTTCATGAACTAGCCATTAACCATGATCTACTAAAAAAGCTAAAGTCCATGTTTAATGTACCATCAAACCAATTCACTAAACAAACTATGGTCACGTTTAATGTACTATCCAGCAATCCACTAAACAAACTACTGACATGTTTTCAATAACACCCCCCCCCCCCCCTTCCCCGTTTCCTGCATTTAAAAAATGCTTATGTTTAATTTACCATCAAATAAATCCACTAAACAACCAAGTGTAACATCCACTTAACAACCAAGTGTAACACTAAGTATAATGCACAGTCAACACTTACATCCATCAGTGTTCAGTGAAACAAGAGTGAGCCAGACAGCCCATTCTGCCAACATACATGTATTAATAAGCCATAAATGCCAGGCTGAAGATTGTATATCTAATTCATTTCTATATTGCTAAAAAACGCCCACCGTCTGCACATATTTACATAATCTGAATGTTTTATGATAACCATTTTGGAGACAGGTGAGCGAGGGTCCCATTGCAATGTGGTGGTGACGTTCCCTCTCTCCCCTAATGTCTACTTGTTGACTACATTGAATTCATTGATATACAGGCATTAGCATTTTCATGTCTGATAAGGTAAGTCATAGCCAACCAATGCATGACATTTCCATATGGGACAGACTCATCAGCAGGCAATGTATATTATTTTACGTATTGGAAGTCATTTATACTTTTGACTCTTCGTTAGCTCTGCCCTCTCAACATTCTGTTGCATAATAATGAACTATCTCACACACACACACACACACAGACAATGGCTGGTCCAAGTGGATGGGCCTCAAATATCCAGGTGTGCCCGTATGAAGAATACACATTATACAGAGATCCCCGGAAAATATCACATTAGATGTGACAGTCATATTATATCCAGTGAATGAGAAATTCAAGACATATTTCCAACACTATAAATTCTTGACTCATATATATATATATATATATATATATATATATATATATATATATATATATATATATATATATATATATATATATATATATATATATATATATATATATAGAGAGAGAGAGAGAGAGAGAGAGAGAGAGAGAGAGAGAGAGAGAGAGAGGGGGGGGGAGTGAAAGAGAGAGTGAAAGAGAGAGACTCACACGACACGAAGGTAAGGGATTCTCCGGGACAGAAACTGTCACTGAAGAGGGACTTAAACTGGAACCTGGGCCTATTCCCCCCCCCCCCCCCCCCCAACCAGCCAACCTGTATGTGCAAAGCCATTGGTTATTCCTTGATGTATCTCCATAGAATTCAAGTACTGATCTTGGACACCCCTACTGGCTTCTAAGCCTTAGAGGGGAGCTGTGCAATGGAGATAGCACTTTCTTACAGCATCACCACACCTAACGGAAACAAGCGCTTTTGAGAATGCAGGGAACCTAAACTTACCGAAAATCTAAGTCTGCAAACAGACACCAACTGACCCTTGTCAAAGGGTCCAGGCATCCCATCTACTGCTGGATGGGGTCAGACTGACTATTAGATAAATGCATTTCTCAAATGTCACCCAGATAAACAACACTGAGTTCTGAGAAAAGGATATGAAAAATAGAAGGATTGAGGAAAGGGAGAGTCTAAGACAGCAGTTCTCAAACAGGTGCCGCGAGCGTATGCCA